TTTAAACATTTTAAGTTTGGGTGAAAGTCTACAAAGCAAATTAGTTTCCCATTCAGTAATTTATACGCATTTTATTTCATGACGTTAGTTACAATCCCTTCAGTGTAACAGCACTCTTCCCACTTCCTCCCTGGGTTCCCTGTTTCCATTTGTCCATCTTTCCTGCCCCTTCCTGCCTTCTAAACATTGTTTTTGGACACATGCTGCGCTTTTGGTCTGAATGGTTGATTGTTGTGAGGAGCACATTCTTCACAGGTGTTATTGTTTACTTTATAGACCTATTTGGCTAAACGGTAATCTTCAGAAGTGGGTTCACATCCAGGTTTGAAAAGTATTTAGGGTATAGTCTCGGAATGTTGACTGTTTTTTGTTTGTGTGCTTTTGTCTATAAAGGTACGGGAACCTGACAAGCCCACACTATGAAGAAGATGGAAACCAAACTTCATCAGAATCCAAGACAGTGATTAGGAAGTGAGTATATCTTTTCTCTGCAGTATAAATGCTCAGTCAAGACTTAATATTTTAAGGGGGCATTGTTTAGTAGAATTTTATTTATTCCTTTGGAATGTTGCTATGGTTTTTTCACATAGTGTTTAAGAACATAGCTATTTCTTGACTATCTAACGATACTCATCTATTCATCCAGTAAAAGTGTATTGAGCACTCATGCCAGGCAGTGTGCCAAGGAATACAGCACTGAACAAACATACATAAGTCCCAAGAAAAGCATTTTAACAGAAAGACACAAAGGATACATGCAAAAAAAGTGAAGAAGGATGAAGCAGTATAAGAGGGCTAGGTCATAGGGGGGAGTGTGTCTTCACATGACGTGCCAGCAGTGCACACTGGAGCAGAGACCCAAAGCAGTTGTGGATTCAGCTTTGTGTATATTTGCAGGAAGAGCATTCAGGCAAAGAGAATAGTAATGGAAAAAGTTTTAAGGCAGAACAGTGTTTGAGAAATATTAGGGAAGTGGATGTGGTTGGAGAAGAGTAAGTTCCTAGGAGATGAGGTCTACAAAGGAAGAGCTCAGATTAGGTGGGGCCTTCTTGAAGGCCTTGGGAAGGGTATGGAATTTTACTGTGAAAAAGATAAGAAGCATTTACAGGATTTTGAGGAGAGCAACGCTATGACCTGACTTATTTTTAAAAAAGGTTTCTCTGGCTTTGTGTGGAATTTAGATTGTGCCAGTGAGGGTGGGAGCAAACGAGGGAGTAGAGAACTCAGTTAGGAAGCACTTACAAGGGTCCAGGCAAGAGATGATGATAGCATGGACTCAAGTAGTAACAGTGTAGAGAGAAAAAGGAGGCATGGATGCTTCCAAGGTTTGTGGCTTGAGTAACTGATAAAAAGGAACCGTAGCTTTCAGAGGGAAAGAAGACTAGTGGTGGGGCAGGCTTTGCTGGGGAGAAGGATAGTAATTTAGTCTTGGACATATTAATTTTAAGGCAATTGGATACATGAGTTAAGATTTCAGGGAGAGGGTTGGACTAGTATAAATTTTGGAGCTCTTAGTTTGTACATGATTTTAAAGCCTTGGATTGGATGTGATCTCCTAGGGAGTAAATATTGATAGGGAAAAGCTTGGTTCAAAGACTAAGCCTTGAGTCTTTCCAGTGTGTAGAGTCAGGAAAATAGAGGATCACACAGGAGACTGGGAAGGAACAGCCAGTAAGGGAAGAGAAGAAAGAAGTTATGTCCAAGAAGAGGAGTGAAGAAATACTTTGGGCAGAGAGTGACCAGCTATACCTAATGCCACCCATAGATCAAGAGAGAAGGTTCTGGGAAGTGTTCACTGGCGTTTTCAATGTGGGGATCCTGGTGGTTCTTGACAAGTGCAGTTTTGGTGGTTAGAGGTAGGGACAAAAAGTCTAAAAACACTCTGGAGAAGTTTTGCTGTGGAAAAAGGGAAACGAGATGGAGGATGATCTGTGGGCAAGGGAGGTGTGTTTGTGTGTGTGTGTGTTTAAATGGTGTTTTCTAAAAAGGGTGCCTGAAACCACTAGTGTTAACTATTCATCTGGGGCCAAATGTCGGGGGTTAGGGAGGTCCTATGAAATTCTTAACCCTTTAAAGGATTTACTCATGGTCTCTTGCTTCAGGAGCCAGGGAGGAAGCAAAGGTCAGAATATTGGCTATCTTTAGATTCCGTGTAGCTTTATAATTTTATTTGATGGGCTATAACTTTCCAGAAAATCAGACAAATGTAGATATTTGAATCCCAAATGCAAGTCATAGTGATAAGAACAATTACTTTATTCCTTCAAGGACTTGGAGAAGACCTCTTAGAGGAAGTGGCATTTGAGTTGGGCATTGAAGTATGGTAAAGATTTTGGTGGTAGAGCAGTCCAGGAAGAGGCAACAGTGTGATAAAATCAGGAAAATTCAGGGTGCATGGCATTTTGGGAAATAGTTTTTAATTGCTGTGACTGCTTCATAGTGTACATATTGGGTGAGAGGAGTTGATGGAGCTAAAGCTAGAGAGTTAGATTGGAGGTACATCATGAAGAGGTTTCATTACTTACAAGACACTTTAGACTTCATCTGGTATGTGGTAAGGAGTCAGTTATAAAGAAGTCTTACCGGAGGGAAATTAAAATAAATAAGGAAGGAAGGAAGGAAGAGAAGAAGAGAGGAAGAGAGGAAAGAAGGAAGAGAAAAAAACCCAACAACCAAACCCGTTGCTCTCAAGTCAGTTCCAGCTCATATAGACCCCTATAGGACAAAGTAGAACTGCCAGGCTGTAATCTTTATGGAAGCAGACTGCCATGTCTTTCTTCCAAGTAGCAGCTGGTAGGTTTGAACCATTGACTTTTTGGTTATCAGCCAAGCACTTAACCACTGAGCCTTGTTACTTAAAGTGTGGTGTATGGACCAGCAGCATCGGCCTCACCTGGGAGCTTGTTAGAAATCTTAGGCTCCATCCCAGACAAGATGTATTAGAATCTGCATTTTAACATGATCCTCAAATGATTCCTATGCAGTTTCAAGTATGAAAGCCCTAAGATTAGGGGTTTTTGTTTTTTACGTTTGTTTATTCATGAAGACTCACTGAAGTAATTTTTTAAAAAGCCCTTTTTATAATGTGCTAAATTAAAACTTAGACAAAAGAAGAAATATTTTAAGAATTGAGTGGCCAGTTCAGCAAGGGTGACCTAGACCTGTGACCAGATTCAGAAATAAGCATGTTCTGAGCTTTGGTAGGACAGTGGTTAAGCACTTGGCTGCTCACCAAAAGGTCAGCGGTTTGAGCCCACCCGCTGCTCTGCAGGAGAAAGATGGGGTAGTCTGCTTCTGTAAAGAATTACGGTTTTGGAAACGCTATAGGGCAGTTCTGCTGTGTCCTATAGGGTTACTATGAGTCAAAATTGGCTCATTGGCATTTTTTTTTTTTTTTTAATCTACATGTTTTGGAACTAAGTCAGATCCAGAGGTATTTATTACTCAGCTAGCTATCTGAACACTCTGAGGAGAGTGACAATCTGAAAAATATCCAGGGTGTTTTTTGTTTCCCAGTGGGTGTCTTGAGATTAAATAGATTTTTAGGAAATAGCAGTTAAGAAAATTGATTGTACTCTGAATGTGAAAAGTCCTGTTCATTATTTTAAAAGGCCATTATAAAACTTGATTCAGATTCATTGTGCACCAGGAACACTAATGTGGGTGTAACTCCAGGATAAGCTATTTTAAAGGGTTTACAGTTTTTAAAGCATATGAGGCATTAACAAAGAGCTTCACATAGAATTCCCTTGAGGGGCCCATCATCGGGGACAATGGTCCTTTCCCAAAGCCTTACAGTGAATTGGTGGAAAGTTCTTGACCCTTTTTCTCAGACTGAGTTCCTTTTTAAAAATTTATGTCTGATGAAAATATGCCACTTTGTCTTATAATGGGTTGCTCTGTCCTACAAATTCAGGAATGTGAAAATCCCTTTCTCTGCTGACCTCTTTCTTCATTGTACTTCTCTTTCTTCTGTCCTCTCTGTCTTTTTTTTCCTTTCTCTCAGTTGTCCTTTCATTATTTCTCACCTTACTTTACTATTATCCTTTTCTGAAGTTACCTTTCTCCTGATGATTTCTGTGACTAGATATGATCACTACTTTGTTGTTTTGAGAAGAAATCCAGGGAAACACCATTGCCCGCTTCCTAGGCCTTTGGCATCTGATTTATAACAATGGTTGAAGGCTTGCCCATGACCATTTGATATGTAGGAGGTGTGGCTGTGTCGTGATTCTCAGTGGATAATGTTTTACACCTCTCCCAGGGGACATTTTTGGTAATGTGGAGAAATTTTGGTTGCCTCACCTGGTGGGATGGGGGCGAGGGCTGTTACTGACATCTAGTGGATAGAGGTCAGATGTTGTTGTTGTTGTATTAGGTCCCATGGAGCTGGAGCCAATTCATAACGATCCTGTGTACAACAGAACGTAACTGTATCTAGTCCTGCACCATCCTCACAGTCGTTGCCATGCTTGAACACATCATTGTAGCCATTGTTGTCAGTCCATCTCGTTGATGGTCTTCTCCTTTGTTGCTGACCTTCTGCTTTGCCCAGCATGGTATCTTTCTCTAGGAACTGGTCCCTTCTAGCAACATGACCAAAGTATGAGAGACAAGTCTGGTCATTTTTTTGCTTCTAATGGGCATTCTGGCTATACTTCCTCCAAGACAGGTTTGTTTGTTCTAGCAGTCTGTGGTACATTTAATATTCTTCTTCAGCATGATTCAAATACATCAATTCTTCTATGATCTTCCATATTCGTTGTCCAACTCTCACATGCATATGAGAACATTGAAAATACCATGGCTTGGGTCAGGTACACTTTAGTCTTCAAAGTGACATCTTTAATCTTAAACGCTTTCAAGAGGTCTTTTGCAGCAGATTTGCTCAATGCAAATACATCATTTGATTTCCTGACCACTGCTTCCATAGGCATTGATTGTGGATTCAACTAAAATGAAAAACCAAGGATGCTGCTAAACATTCTACAGTGCACAAAACAGTTCCTTACAACAAAGATTTATTCCCTGCAGAATGTCAGTAGTGCTGAGGTAAGAACCCCTGCGATGTGGTGATGATGCTGCAGCCCTCAAATAAAAACTGACTTGACTTTATGAATATCTAAATAGGTATTCACAGGATACATTTTGAAATGTATTTATTTCATGTCCCTTTTTATATAATTGTTGTTGTTGTTAAGTGCCATCGAGTCATTTCCGACTCATAGCGACCCCGTGCACAGCCGAACGAAACACTGCCCGATCCCGCGCCAGCCCCACAATCCCTGCTATACTTGAGCCCATCATTGCAGCCACCGTGTCAATCCATCTCGTTGAAGGCCTCCCCCTCTTTCGTTGACCCTCCACCCTACCAAGCATGACATCCTTCTCCAGGGAATGGTCCCTTCTGACAACATGACCAAAATAGGTGAGACGAAGTCTGGCCATTCTTGCTTCCAAGGAGCATTTTG